CTTCTCTCTCCAATTCGTTAAACCTGTTCATGAACTCTTCTCTCTCTTCCTCCAACTCGTGAATCCGGTTCTGCAGACGCTTCTCCTCTTCCTGCCAAGCGTTCCTGTTGCTAGCGAAGATCTCCACCACGCGCGCGTTAGCTTTCGAGTCCTCCACGCGCCGACATTTCATCTGACGGACTTGTTCCTCCGCCGCCGCGAGCCGTTGTTTCAGCTCGGTGACCTCCGTCGTCAATCGCGGAACCAGAGAGAGCGCGTCGCTAGGGAGATGAGCTAGCATCACTGAGAAGCTCAGGCCTAGAAATGACGTCGCTAGCTTCTTCAGCTCGTGCTCGTTATCTTCTTCAACAACCGTTCTCAATCCCGATTCTTCAGCTTCAGGAACAGTCGCCATTGTTTTTGGATTCCCAAAAGTAAAGACAACTTTCTATTTTATTTCTTTTTCTTTTTCTGCCACAACACTTTTTAATCTCTGTAGCTGAAAGGAAAGCCCTCTTTTGATGTATTCTGATTTTGACGAATTTAAAATTTAATAAAAATGTATATATATATATATATATATATATATAGCTGAATGTCAAAACAACTATAGTTTATAAAATACAAAAAAAGATTGATGAGTAGTCGGTTGTCTAACTTGAATGGAGTTGGACCATGTAAGATAAAGAGAGGCTTCGTCTCTTCAATGCAACAACAAGAAGATGAAAAGAAATCATATCACGGACCGACCTCTCTCCACCTCTCAACAGCCACGTGATATCTAATTTTTTGAACCGAGTTTGGTGATAACAAGTAAATGATCGATGGAAACTTGTCGATGGGTTATTTCGAATGTGCAAATGGGCATATGAGAATAAGAGGAGCTTTATTAATAGAAGAAAAAACGAGTGGAGAGAGAACTGTAGTGCTCGGAAGCTAACCGGAGTTGTACGGACCGATCTAAGAGCAACAAGATGAGTAAAACCCTAGTTTACCTGCTGCCTAATCAGTCTATTTTCGGATCCCTTTTTAAGTTCGATCTTCCTTCGCTTTTATAGGGTGTTGTACGGACAACCCTAATGGGCCGCGTCTTTTCTCCTGTGGGCTTTTAAGCGAGCCAGTTCTTCTTACTCGGTACGGACGAGTGACGTATGCTCGGTGCTGACTTCCTTCACTACAAGAAAATTCATCCTTTACTAGAACGACTTTTCCTCGTTATTTCCTAGTAAATGACCATTTACTAGGAACTTATGAGGAAACGCGTTTCCTCGAAACACGTTCATCGTAAAGCCTTTTTCCTCGTAAGGTCCTAGCTAATTTACGAGGAAACTTTTCCTCGTAAACGCGTGGATACGTTTTTCCTCGTAAGGTCCTCGTACAGGTTTCCTCGTAAAGTCATAGTAACACATTTCCTCGTAAACTTGTAGTAATGGTTTACGAGGACCTTACAAGTAAAATGTACGAGGACTTTACTTCGAAAATCTTATGAGGATTTTACTTCGAAACCTTTTTTCCCTATCAAAAAATATTAATTATAAATATAAATAATATATTTTAAAAAAGAAATAACAAAATATTTTATAAATAACTAAATAATATACAATTAAGTTTTAAAATTGATAATATACAATAAAAAAAAACTACGAATGTTGGTCGTTAAATTGTTGAATGAAGTCGTCCCGACTCGCCAACTCCTCCTCGGCAAGGTTGGTTGTCGGCTGTGACTGTATCAGTGAATGCTGTTGGGTTGGAAGCCCTCCGCTTTCTCGTCTCACACGCAACATTTCTGCCAATTGCGGGTTTCCAACCGCCAAAATGTCGAGGACATCGGTGAGAGAACTCACATGATCGGTGAGCGAACTCACATGAGACTGCGTCGCCTGTAACTCCGAGCGCAGCTGAGCATTGACACCGTGTTGTTCCTGAGCATAAGACAATGTCGCTGTGGGGACATCGTTAATGGAGCCAATCCCGACGATACGCTCCTTCTTCCTAGGGGCGACCTGTAAATAAAAAGATTAATAACGTTAAAAAAATAATAAAAATTAATAGAAAAACAAATTATTTACCTCCTCGTAAATCTTATCCACTTCAAGAGTGGATAATATGACTGGTGTCCCAGTCTGTTGAGTCAGTTGGGTCTGGCGTTCGTCAACCCGAGCAACAACCTCGTTGTAGATCCGCTCGGATCTAGGATCTACAAACTGCCCAGCCTTGTTCCGGTGGGTCCTCTCGTAAAGCTCTTTCAGAGATGGAAGAACTCCTGTCTCTTTAGCCTAAAAATAATTTTTAAAATTAAATATTAATTTGAAATATTCAAATAGAGTAAAAATTAAATAGTTACTAAAAATTAATTTACCATGTCTACACGAATTCCCCCGTGAGGTTTTCGACCCGCGGTGTGAAACATCTTCGTGTTGCCATGCTCGTCTCTTGTCATGCGGTTCTTGGAGTTTGTGTGGGAGGTTCTGACCGAGTCTGGCAACCCCCAATATCTGATGAGGCCATCCCACACGTCGAATGTGAGGCAATCGGGTTTCCCCTCCTCGTAACCATCCACCTAAACAAAAAATAATTTTAAAATGATTAGAATTAAAGTCAATAAATGATTTAAAACTATATATATAATTTATAAATCCACACCTGAAAGTTGTCCTTCCAGTTGTAGACCATGTTGAGCAATCGTGCTCTTGCATTCGCCTCAAACTTCGTCTTCACCCGCTGGTGAATCCCTATAGACCAACAATATTTTTGCTGTAACCAGAAAAAATAAGAGACGGATTAGTTCAATAATATTAATAATTTTAAATAATTAAAAATAAATTAAGTTGATTAATTAAACTTACAGCGAATGATTTGAACCACGTCTTTTTGTGTGGTTGGGCGTCTTCTTCCAGTTTGGAGCTGCATCGGGAAAGTTTCCCTTGATACAATCCGTGACGCTCTGAGCGACACATCCGTCAAGACCAAACCTGGAAAGAAACAAAATAAAAACATTAATCAGATTAATTTGTAAATTTTTTGTTAATTAAGAAATAAATTAAAAACGCTTTTTAAAAATTAAAACATACCATAATATGTTGTGGCCGTCCCGTCTGATAGGATCTAACTCAGGCAACCCTTCTCTGCCTGGAAGGGCCATAATATCCTCCACCTTGTACATCGCAAATGGTGCGTTTGGCGGCACCTGCAAATCGGGATGAACCCCGGCGACCGGTGGAGGAGGAGGAGGTGGTGGTGGATCAGACCGGGGCGCCGTAGAAACTCCCTGAGTCTCGGGAACAAGGTCATGATCCGGAAGCGAAGAACCGGGAGCTGACGAAGATGATGCGCCTATGTGAGGACCAGGCTGACGACCAAAAATATCTCCGTAATGACTCCCCTAAAGAGGCCTCTTAGCCGCCGCCCTATCAAGCTTGCTCTTTCAAGTTATCTAAATTAAAAAAAAAAATTAAAACATTAATGTACTAGTATCTTTTAAAAAAATGGTTAAAAAAAAACTAAATTAACCTAATCAAAATTCCCTAAACTAACCACCTAATCTAAATTCTCTAAACTAACCACCTAATCTAAATTCCCTAATCTAATCACCTAACTAGGAAATAGAGAGAACCTTAAGAGGATTCAGAGAGAAGCTTACTATAAATGAGAGAAATCGGATGGCTCGAGTTTATATAGGGAATTTTGTTTCCTCGTAAGGTCCTAATAATTTTACGAGGAAATTACGAGGAAATAGCTATGCCCGTTTTTATTTTCTCGTAAAGTCCTAGTAACAGTATTACTAGGATTTTACGAGGAAATAACCTTTGCGAGGAAATAGCTATTCCTGCGTTTATTTCCTCGTAAAGTCCTAATAATACTATTACTAGGACTTTACGAGGAAACAGCCTTTACGAGGAAACAGCCTTTACGAAGAAACAGCCTTTACGAGGAAACAGCTATGCCCGCGTTTTCTGTTACTAGGGTTTTACGAGGAAAGGGTTTGTAAATCCCTAAACTCGAAACCCCAAACCCCAAACCACAACTTCCTTAACTTATAACCTCTTCTACAACCAAACTCCTAATCTCTTCTACACATAAACCCCAAATGCAAATTAATTTTGTGATTAAAGAAACTTAAAACATGCATAACTCAAATTCATTTTGTGATTAGACAAACTTATAAACATACATAATTCATTCAGATAGATTCTCGTAATCTATTGAAACATCATCATTTTTGTAAAACTCGTCCTTAACACCTTCGTCCGTCGAGTGATCAGGAACATCTTCGTATTCACGATTATGCGGATCAATGAGTAGGATGTCATCAATTTCTGCCTCAGGTTCATCGATCTCATTGGTGTTTTCTTCTTGTAATGGTGGTTATTCTTCAGCGATTATTCGTCCTCGAGGTGTAACTTTGATAACAGCTAACCAGTTTATTCCCGAGGTAGTAATCCGAAGGTATGGAATGAAGCAAACTTAACTGCTTGGGAAGCTAATATGAAAGACTCGAACTTGTTGTACCTTATACAAAAATAAAGACAACGTAAAAATTAATTAATACTCGAAACCTGGATATAAAAAAAAAGAATTTGTTGTACCTTCGTCCACCATTGACATCAACTACACCGTTCTTGTTAATCCGAACAACTCTGTTGACAACGGGGTCGTACCACTCACACTTGAAGATAACGCATTTCAAACTCATACCTGGGAATTGAACTTCATAAATCTCCTGCAAGATCATGTAGAAATCTGTTTCGCCTTTCACACATATTCCATAATTACTTGTCGCCCGGTGTCTACCATAGTCATAGGTATGAAAAGTATAGCATCGGGTGAAATACATCGATGATGCAGTGACCTTTGCAACTGGACCTTGAAGTAATTCGCGAAACCATGCGGGATACTCAGGATCGTCATAATCAACCTGGAAAAAGGTAATTAATAGAACTTGACATTAGACTTACTTTGTGGTAATGTATGCATAAAATTTAAGCTATAAAATACATGTTTCCCCAACCACTTCATAAAGTGTTGATCTTTTCTTTTGTCTAACTTAGTTGTCAATATACCAGGTATTGCTTCTTCGACTTGAGTCACAAATTGGCTGTAAAATCATATAAGTTATGTTATTTAATATTGGAAATATATATATATATATATAAGTGTTTATGTTTATATATTTACCTTTCAAAATAACCAATCAATGGATGCTCGCAATTAAGAAGAATATAAAGGTGTGCACTATGGACGTCTTCATCATTCGACCACTAAACCTCTTTCAATTTCTCACCCAATCGCCCAATTTGACAAAATATGTCTGGAACATCGTCTTCCATATATGTCGGCACGACACCACCATCATCATATCTTCTTGGAGCTCGTTTCCTTGTACGTACTTTCGGTGCAAAGTAGTATGATGTGAAA